CTACCCTTATGAAGGTTATACAGGTTTTTTCTGAAGAAATCATTGATGTCAACTGATTGGTTATTTTAGAGGCTGAAGTTTCTGGTGCAATGCGAATAGGCGTTCCCTTAAACACACGTTATGCACAAAACATTAGGTGATTTTATGTGATATGTCACTGATGTATTTTTCAGCAAACATATTTCTGAGATAGCTAAGGGAATTTGGGGTAATAGGTAACGTGTATCTGTTCTTGTCATCAGGTAGAGCAGTCTGAGGATCCAGAAATAGATGACGTCGCTGTCGGACTTCTCCTGATCAGTGCCAGGTCGACAAATGCCACGCTCTTCTGCCCAGAGAAGATCACTGTTGTCATAGAGGGGGACAAAGTTATGGAATTCCCCACACTGAGTTACCCGAAAGAGTTGGTAAACACTTTCGACTTCATCCAGAAAGTATTGATGGGCCTGCCTACAATATAACACACACACACACACACACACACACACACACACACACACACACACACACACACACACACACACACACACACACACACCACACACACACACACACACACACACACACACACACACACACCACACTCCCTTGTGGCTGGACGCTGGCGTTGTGCCCCACACACACCACACTCCCTTGTGGCTGGCGTTGTGCCCCACACACAGAAACATGTTTTAAGTAACCTTTCATCAATCATCAATAATTAACATTAATATAACATCATATTGATAATGTACTCACTAAACTTACGATTAATTTACTTATTTTCTTCCAAAAGTTAATTATCCAAAGCATCGAACACCCCCCTCTATTTACATGTAATGGTTTGGTCCTGCCTCCAAACGCTGTGCGGCACCGGCCCTTTCTAGCAGAGAGTGAGAGCATGTGAGGAGGGATGCTAGTACTTACGTGTGTACGATGTCTCAACGACTCACAAAGTCAGGCTTTCAAGAAAGAAAAGAAAGGAGAGAAAGACAAGAGAGAGGGACTAAAGGGCGACAGTATGTCACCCAGTTTTTCAAAAGAAAAGGTGGGTGTGGTCCATGAGTGGTGGAAATTAGTCTGTTAGCTAAGCGTAGTCCATGGTAAATAATAATTGTAATGTTTTGCTGACATTAAAGGTGGGGTAGGTAAGTTTGAGAAACCGGCTCGAGATACACTTTTTGTTATATTGCATGGAATGCTCTTAACATCCCGATAGCAATGAATATCTGAAGTGCTTTGACTCAAAATCCATTGAAAAAATGCATCTGTGGAAGCCGTGGCGCTGTAAAAAGCACGACCAATCATTTTAGCCGGCCCGGCTAAAGTAACTGGATGGCCTACCTGCCTGTCAGCCTTCCATCTGTGCCCTCATTGGTCATGTGCGTGTTCGTGTGTGTTGGAGGAGGGGCTCTGTAAGGAAGTGGCAGATTTTTTCCGGTTGTATTTTAAAATTCTAGCGCACTCGAGCTGGTTTCTCCAAAATGACCTACCCCACCTTTAAGTTCTGTCAATATCTTCACAGAAAATTCAGAGGTTTTTCATTTCACTCCTCTTTTAGCTGACATTTAATAAATGCAGGTACATTTTTAGCAGCTATTCATACTAAATCAGTTGTCCCTCCCCTGGTGCCAGGACCAACAGATCCATCTCTAGGCTCCGCAGCCCTGTCCCCCCATAAGGCTTTGCAGTCTTGCCATGCTGTCCATTGAAAGCCAGTTGGCTAGAAAGCTGGACTTCAAGGACTTGATCAGTGACTTTGCCTGTAAGAAGGCTAGGCGCTGGGCTCTTGGTGAGTAAGGCTGAGCCAGGGCTCGTAATAACTGTTAAAGGGCAAGGCTATGGTAACGATATTGGAGGATCACTACACAGAAGATGCATGATGAGAAAAAGACTGAGAACAGGTGATAGGCTCTGATTTAGCACCACCATCAGGCCTTTTCACTTCCATTTCCGTTTTGTTGTCCGTTTACACTTTAATACCCACTTATTTTGTAGTTGGTATATTTAATAAAAAAATCTGCTGCTTATGTTATTTTTTTGTTATAGCATTTTATAAATGATAATATTGGTGTTAATGTTCACTTTATTTTAATTTAAGAGGTCATGTATATTTAAGTTATATTTATTTAGATCTTTGATTGTTCCATTCAAAAATGTTATTAAAAAGGCATGTACACCATAAAAGATGACTATTGAGGTCTATTGTCAGGAATGTTAGTGTTATATCAAAGAGTGAATTCTACTGCAGCAGAATGTTGCACGTCTGCACAGTGTTATATGTTCACCGCTCAGTGTCAGTACATATTGTGCGGTTAGTATTGGACTACAAGATAGATGCAAGCCTGTACAGGTAGAGTTATTTAAAGCATCAATGAGTCGGTTGGGTTCTGGAGGTGTGGTTACAGCATTGTGCTCGGTTGGTGTGGCCTGGTGTTTTTCTTTGCTATATATTTTAAAATCTATTCATTTCATCATTTAATATTGCAAAGTATTCATTAAATATCTTGTTTTTGATGACCATAAATCATTTTATTTTTATTTTCTCTGTCTATATTTTGGAACTAAAATAGGTTTTGTATCACCACATCAAGTTTCCACACATGGGTCAGAAATGACCCGTGCAAGTGTGAATTTGATAGGAACCTTTGATTTATAAAATGTGTGCAGTTAGGATTTTTTTTACTGTGGACAACTTTTCACTTATGAGAATATGGCGCTGGTCAGAACTAAACAACTGGACAACATTTCACATTCCACTCTTGTCAGAAGGAAACAGGCTGCGTCTTCAGATCTGATTCATGTAAGTCTTGTTTTACAATTGTTTTACCTAAGAAAAATATATTGAGAAAAGATAACTGCACATAACATTTGAACATTATCCCTACCTGTTGGGAAAGAGAAATATTACATTAGCATATTCTATTCTAGCTAGCATCACATTAGCATATTCTATTCTAGCTAGCTAATGTTAGCTTGTGTTAGCTAGGTCAATTCTAGATCGCGGTCGCTAATATTAGCTAATGCATACATGCCAACTCTTTTGCCAGATCATGTATGAAATGTAATCATGTCTTACACTATAAATACGCTATACTATTTTCAACCCATTTGTCAATCTGGAAATACTTACATAATAATAAATAAATACATTTAAATACAGTCATATAAAGGTATAAGCTAATGTCAGCTAGGGCAACAAAATAAAACTTGAATTAGAAAAGTGTACTGTATAATTTATCAACTGATGTTGTAAATATTATTTTGATTTTCTTCATCCACAGTATGGCTCGTCACACTCATTCACGTTTCACGGCTGAAATGGTCATCGAGATGTTACATCAAGAACAGGATAAGGAAGATGGAGCAATCCTTGATTCTGACTCTGAGTCTGACCTCTCTGATGATGACGTAGACTATGTGCCACAGGGTCAAGCTGAAGCTGCTGGTGATGAAGAAGACTCCTTGGACGAGCTAGAAGACTCGTCTGATGAGTCCTCTGAAGAGGAAACTCAGACCCAGGCCAATAGGCTAAGTAAAAAGGGGTCTTACTGGAATGAGCAACCCCCCACTCAAGGCAGAGCAAGAACCCATAACATCCTGAGGAGGTGTCCAGGACCCGTATCTGGTTCAACAATCATTTCACCAAAAGATGCCTGGGAGTTGTTCATTAGTGATAACATCATAGAGGAGGTTTTAAGATGCACTAACTTAGAGGGACGCAGAGCCGCAGCAGCAAAAGGAAAAGAGTGGAGATGCCTCGACAAAGTGGAATTCATGGCATTTATTGGTTTGACCCTCCTTGCAGGGGGGGACAAGAGCTGGGATGTGGCCTTGCGGGAGCTCTTTCTGGATCCCCTGCAAAATCCGATGTATAAGGCCACCATGGGGTTCCACAGATATGAGGATATCCGCCGCCTCATACGGTTTGATGATAAGAGGACTAGGGCTGTTAGACTGGAAACAGACCACATGGCTGCATTCAGATATGTGTGGGACTGTTTCCTGGCCAATTGTAAGAAAGTGTTCGTCCCCAGTGATTGTGTCACTAATGAGCAGCTTGTGCCATTCCGTGGAAGGTGCAAGTTCTTACAATACATGCCCAGCAAGCCAGCAAAATATGGGATCAAAATCTTTTGGATGTGCGATGCAAGGGTCCATTATGCATTCAATGGCATGATCTATACAGGGCGACAGCCAGGAGAGGATGTTCAGAGGAACCTTGGCGAGAATATTGTCCAACAGTTGTCCAGCGGAATAAGACACACAGGTGAATATAGAATACAGAGTATACATACAGTGAATATACTCTTGAAGTTCTAGCACAATACCTAGATCACTTTTCCACTCTCTCATATTGTCTATTTCATTTTGTATTACCATTGTGAGAAATTGATTAATTTATAAGCATAGAATGGAATAAAATACAATGCAGTACTCCATAATTATAATAATCAATATTCCATCAGGTTTATTTTAATGTTAGAATTTAGAGAATTACATGTTGACTAAATTGACCATTCATTTTTTTTTGTTCTGTTCATAGGTCGCAACATAACCATGGATAACTTCGTTACCAGCATTCCTTTGGCTGAGAAGCTCCTAGAGAAGAACCTTACGCTTGTGGGGACTCTTCGCCAGAACAAGCCAGACATACCACCTGTCATGAAGCCAAACAAACTGAGAGAGAAGTACAGCTCCAAATTTGGATTCTGTGGCAACATGACAATGGTGAGCTATGTCCCGAAAAAGGGGAAGGCTGTTGTGCTGCTAAGCACAATGCATGTATGATGACACAGCAGTGGATGACCAGAGTGTTAAGAGGAAGCCAGAAGTGATCCAATATTACAACCACACAAAATCAGGAGTGGACACAATGGATCAAATGGTTCGCACGTACACCTGCAAGCGGAGAACACGGAGGTGGCCCATGGTGCTCTGGCACAATGTGCTGGATGTTGCCACCCTCAACGCCTTCACCAGCTACACTGCACAACACCCTGGTTACATGGGTGGTGTGACTAATGCACGGCGGCTCTTCATAAAGGAGCTGGGCAAAGAGCTGGTCATGCCACACATGAGGAGACGCATGGAGGGCACGTCCCACCTCCAAACCCATATTACAGAGGCAATGGAAAGATGTGGGTTAAAAAAAGTAAACGCAGCCACCACCCAGCCACAGGAGGAAGAGGAAGAGGTGCAAGATCTGCCCAACTGCCAAAGATCGAAAAGCCAGCAGCTGGTGTTCCAAGTGCACCAGCCCTGTGTGCAAGGAGCACAGACATGTTGTTGTGATTTGTGAGGCATGTATGCACTAGATTGCAACTTACTCATATGAGTTCATTTCATGAGTTTGTTTCATGAGTGTCATGAGTTCATTTGAAACATTCAGCATTCACCACAGTTCACTGCAGTAACAAGACAGATTCACTAACAGTTCAAAAAGTTCAAAATCAGTTTTATCAGTTGTATGGTGTGCTATGTGTGAGTGTGACAAAGTGACAAATAAACATTTCAAATATTAAATGTGTTATTCTTTGGTCCAAATCACTGCTAAAATGTTTTTTGACAAAATCATTATTATAGTAGGCCTATGTCTTTTCTTTAAATACCACACTTGCAGACATGGGTCATTTTCGACCCCTGTCTGTAAACTTGATGTAATATTATAAAAACTATTTTAGTTTAGTAATTAACAAAGGAGAAACAAAAGTAATGATTTAGGGTTTTCAAAAACAAGATATTTAATGAATATTTTGAATATTTAATGATGAAATAAGTTGATTTCCAAAAATATAGCAAAGAAACACTCAACCATGCATTAAATAACACTGTAAGTCAATACGGGTCCTTTTTGACCCATGTTGTGTCTTAGAGGGGGTTTCCATAGCTTGTGTATCAGAGGGTTACAAAAATAAAATAAGAAGCACCCCATAAAAAGGGCACTTTCTCTGGAGGAAGAAAAGGGCAGGGGCTCAAGCCCACTTTGAGGTCTATGTGTGCACGTGCCTGCTCAAGACTGACTATCCGCCACAACCTCTTCTCCATCAGCTTCGTATGGCACCTTGGACACAAGAAGAACATCCTGTTTTTGTTTTTGAAAGACAAACCTTTATTAATGATCCAAACATTTCATTTAATCACACATCCCATCAGTAAAGTCTGTTCAATGATTTCATGATCAGTCTCACTTTCTCCACATGAATGTGTTTCATCTCAGCTGTTTCAAACAGAGTCAGACATGATTTCCTTATTGATTATTATCATGATAATTAATGTTCTATAAAACATCAGAGTACCCAATTTCTATTTGGATAACAACAACAACAACAACAACAACAACAACAATTAGTCTGCAAAACAATAACTGTAATATTATGTAATGTATTTCCCGAGCAAAGACTCTAAGCTATTCCCAGGAGAATAATGAAGGATGTACTTATTGATTATGATCATGACAGGAAGTGATATCATTTTGAATAAACATGTGATGATGAAATAAGTGTTATAACCATCTGGGAACTCATGTTTTAGTTAATTCAGCAACAATAACATTGAATCTGTCAAAAAGAATACATGTGATTATAAATGCCTCTATTGTTTTAGAACCAGAATCAAATGTGTAGAATAAAAGAAGCTCTGCTGCTTTCTCTCTGAAGACTCGTGCACTACAAGAGAAACAACAACATGAATCAAAAGAAATATCCAACACATATTTAGAGCAAAGTTTACATATCAGTTCAGGTGAACAAGGATCCTCCTGAGCAGTGACAGCCTCCATGGCTAACCAGACACAGGAAGGAGCCGGAAGAAAGTCCAGCATCTACAGAACAACTCGTGAGAAGATGTTGAAGCCCCGCCCATCATGTTTGATTGACAGCTGATCTCTGCAGTGAAGACATGGACAATCAGCTCTGATGGACACACGGTGAGTTTAAGAAGTAGAAGAGTTCCTCCAAGGACTTCAGGCTATTTGAGTTTACAAAACTCAGCTGTGGTTCCATATTCATAACAAAGCCGAACTCCAGCATGTAGCGGCTGAGTGAATGTGGTCTGCACTCTGTGGAGGAGAGTCATGGTTTCAGAGACGCTGTAGAAGGACAGAACACCTGCTCTGTGATCCAGGTACACTCCTACTCTGGAGGACAGAGGACCTGAGACGAGAGATTTGATTCTGTTGTAACGAAATGAATAACTGTTTTGGTCACAAACTAAGGACCAAGATTTGTCATTGTATCCAAATACACTTTTATCCCCTGCTCTGCTGATATTCTTGTATGCGACTGCTACAGAAACTCCTCTCCCTCTCCACTCCACCTCCCAGTAACAACGTCCAGTCAGACTCTCTCTACTCAGGACCTGAAGATAACAATCAGTGAATCTGTCTGGGTGACGAGAATAAGACTGTTGTTGTGTCATGTATGTTGCTTTTCTGCTCCCCTCAGATAATACCAGCTGTGTGTTTGCTGTGTTTGGATCCAGAGTGATCTCCTGTGAATATGTTAAGAACCCAGCTCTGGTGGTGGGTTCTGCTGCTGACAGTAAAACATCCACTTCAGTCGGTGAGACGTTTGTCCATTCCTCTCTCAGGACGTCCTGTAGTTTGTCTCTGACTGCTGACAGGGCCGCCGTCACGTCCTCAAAGTAGCTCAGAGGACGGATGTTGATGCTGGAGGAGTGTGTAGCTTCACTGAGGGCTGGCAGTGAGGGGTAGCTGAGCAGAAACTGGTTGTGATCCTCTGTGTGAGACAGCAGCTTCAGCTCAGCGTCTCTCCTCTTCAGCTCAGAGATCTCCTGCTCCAGCTTCTCCTGGAGCTCTCTGACTCGACTCACTTCTCTCTTCTGCTGGGATCTGAGCTGCTGCTTCACATCAGAGCTTCTCTTCTCCATGAGACGGATCAGCTCAGTGAACGTCTTCTCACTGTCCTCCACTGCTTTATCAGCAGAGCCATTGACGGCCTGCACCTCCTGCTGAAGCAGCTTCACCTCCTTCTCTCCGTCCTGGATCCTCTGCTGGATGTTGAGTCGACTCCCCTCCAGCTCTCTCTGCCTCTCAGTCCTCTCTCCTGCAGCTGACACCGTGTCGTGGCCTTTGTGTTCGTCTACAGAGCAGAGATAACAGATACTCTGCTGATCAGTGCGACAGAACAGCTTCATCACCTCGTCGTGACGAGAGCAGATGTTCTCCTGGAGCTTCTTGGAGGGCTCCACCAGCTTGTGCTTTTTAAACGTAGCTGCGTCATAATGAGGCTGGAGGTGTTGGTCACAGTAAGAGGCCAGACACACGAGGCAGGACTTACAGGCTCTCAGCTTCCTCCCAGTGCAGACATCACAGGCCACATCTTCAGCTCCAGCATAGCAGAGATCAGCAGGAGCAGCTTGGAGTCCAGTCTTCTTCAGCTCCTCCACTAAAGCTGCTAACATGGTGTTTTTCAGCAGGACAGGCCTCGGTGTGAAGCTCTGCCTGCACTGAGGGCAGCTGTGGATCTTCTTCTCATCCTCTCCGTCCCAGAAGCCTTCAATACACTTCATACAGTAGCTGTGTCCACAGGTAGTCGTCACTGGATCCTTCAGTAGATCCAGACAGATGGGACAAGAGAAGGTTTCCCGGTCCAGCTGAACTCCTTTCTGCGCCATTTCACCTCTCAGTAGCAGCGAGTGTCTGAGTTTCACTTCCTGAGAGCTGAAACTAGTGTGACAGGTTATCTAAACAGCATGTGTGTGTGGGCGGTGAATGTGGCCTATCAGCTCTCGTACTTTACCCACATGTTGGTTAACCCCTCCTCCTCCTCAGTGTGGCTCTGAAGGGGAGGAACCAGGAAATACAGAGTGGAGCTGGCTGTGTCTGAGAGCAGGAAGAAGAGGGAGGGGCTTATCAGACTCTGACCTACACCAGAGCCTCGGTTACAACCTCCTCTTCATTTGAAAAGAGCTTTTAGTTGTGTAAAATAAGTTGGTAAACTTACAAAATCTGAAGGGGGTTAAATACTTGTTTCCTCCACTGTAAATGTATCGCCTCAATGTCCTGAAATAGCTGATTGATTTAATAGTTGAATGTACAGTAAGTCGTTTTTTTACTGTAAGTACTAGTAGTAGTAGTTTTGATTGTGTGTGTGTGTGGGGGGGGGGGTGGAAACCTTCTTTTAAATCTTTTCACCCTCTGTTACGTGCCGTAGTGTTTGTGTGGTCGTGTGGGTGTTTTTCTCTCTCTCCCTCTGACTCCCCAGGTGCAGCCTTGATTGTCCCCAGGTGCAGCCTCTCCCCAGGTGCTCCCAATCCTCAATCAGGGCCTCCATATAGGACAGGAGGAAGGTTGCTGCTTTCTCTCTCCTTCTCATCTGGCTGCATGTGTGCAGCATGTCTCTGTGTGAGACCCAGCATAGTTGTGTGTTGTTTACTGTAAGTTTGTTTTGTAATTGGGCTGGTGAGCCGCCTTACTTATTCACTAATTAAAACCTCACTTAAACTCCTTCAGCATTCAGTTTCCTCTCCTTTTTCTCTCGTCCGGCTATCTTGTGTGTCGCTACTTCCCTTGGTACCCCTAGCTCTACAAGGGAACGTAACATGGGGGCTCGTCCAATCTTTGAGACAAAGAGTGAGTATTTGGTTGTTGTTTAGTGTTGATATGGTGTTTGGTGGTGAGCAGTAGTGTATATAAGCGTAGAATTGGCTGTGAAAGTATTTACTGTTGAACATCTTCCTCAGTTTAGACAGGGGAGTGTCTAGCTGGACTGAATCAGTCCTTCCTTCAGGCACTCATTTTTTATTTTGCCTTTTTTATTTTCAGGGTAATCCTGGGTGGGGATTTATTCCCTGTTGGGGGCAGGCGATTCAGGGTTTCGGCCGCTGATGTTTGCCTTTTAAAGTCGCCTCGAGCCCGGCACGCCCCAGAAGATAGTTAGGTAAGTTTGGTAGGCAGGATCTGGGGAAGTTTGTAAATAAATAAATAATAATATTGTAAGTTGCTGAGCATGGTTTTTTGTGTTTGGAGCAGTTTGTGGCCAGTCCTACTGTGGGTCAGCTAGAGGGGTGCAGGGAAGGTTGATTTGCGGTTAGTTGCTGACCATTATCACGTTTCTGTCTCCTCGGCTCTGGTAAAAAGTGAACTCAAGGCTACTTTGATAACTGGACTAGTTGAACAGGGGGTTTTGAGGCGGCCTGCTTTAGTGGAATCTCCTGGCACGGTGGTTCAGAGTGCTACGGAACAGGCAAACATTTTCACCACACCTCAGTTTGACTCGTTTTCGGCCAGGATCCTCACCTAAATTAGATTGCCAGGGTAAAAGTGCGTATGGCTCGTCTCCAGTGTGAGAGGGAGGAGCGTGAGCGAGAGTTTCAGCTCAGGAGGGAGCAGGAGATCAGGAAGCAGGAGCAAGAGCTGGAGATCAGGAAGCAGGAGCTGGAGCTGGAGATCAGGAAGCAGGAGCTGGAGCTGGAGATCAGGAAGCAGGAGCTGGAGCTGGAGATCAGGAAGCAGGAGCTGGAGCTGGAGATCAGGAAGCAGGAGCTGGAGATCAGGAAGCAGG